TTCATTTTGCGCTTCATTATGTATGTGTGTAGTATGGTAATTATTGAAATGGAAGAAAGAAAACTTTCATTGAAACAAATGAGTTACACACCGTGAGTATAAATACAATGATTACCAACTAACTAACTATCTAACCATGCAACTATCTAACCATGCAACTAATGCAGTGATTACACGTGGCTAACTATCACTAACTAACTAACTTCCTAACTAATTTGTTTACAGCTGGATAAACGGTGCTGATCTGGGGAATTTCTTCTGTTAGTCCCCTTCAAGATGGACAGTGGGGATTGATGATGGACATCTTGGACATTAGCGGGAATAGGAGATTAGCAGGAAGAGGCTTCGTAAAGACATCTGCTAGCTGATTTTGAGTTCGCACCGGCAACAATTTGACGAATCCATCATTGATTCTATCATGAACGAAGTGACAATCTATTTCTATGTGTTTGGTTCATTCATGGAAAATGGGATTGCTTGCAATGTGGATGGCAGCTTGATTATCACAGAAAATGAGAGCTGGAGCAGAGGAAGAAATATGAAAATCTCGAAGCAACTGAGAGATCCAAATGAGTTCACTGGTAGTGGAGGCCAAGGCACGATATTCAGCTTCAGCTGAAGACCTTGATATTGTGGTTTGTTTCTTAGCCTTCCAAGATACTAAAGAGTCACCAAGGAATACGCAATAGCCCGTCACAGATTTCCTGGTGTCCAGACATGCACCCCAGTCAGCATCAGAGAAAGCACGAATCTGAAGTGAAGAGTTAGCTGAAAATAAAAGTCCTTGTCCTGGAGATGCCTTGAGATATTGCAAGAGGTGATGAGCAGCTTCAAGATGAGGCTTTCTAGGCTGAGCAACGAACTGACTAAGTTTATGAACTGCAAAGGTAATATCCGATCTTGATATAGTCAAGTACAGAAGTCTGCCAATCAATCTTCTAAATCTGGAAGCATCAGGAAGAAGGTCCCCTTCAAATGAGCAAAGTTTGATTTTGGGATCCATGGGCAGTGTGGCTGGCTTGCAAGCCAAAAAACCTGTGTCCTCCAACAATTGTAATGTATAGTGACGTTGGGAGAGGAAGATGCCTTTGTGTGAGCAGGCAATCTCCAAGCCCAGAAAGTACTTTAAATGTCCAAGATCTTTGAGTTTGAAAAGACTATGTAATAAGGCTTTTAAAGAATTTATAGCCATAGTATTTGATCCTGTAATGATTATGTCGTCGACATAGACTAGAAGAGCAACAAATGAATTTCCAGATCCCTTTGTGAACAATGAATAGTCCGACTTTGATTGGATGTAACCATGGGAAATAAGAGCATTAGAGAATTTTGCAAACCATTGTCTTGACGCCTGCTTTAAGCCGTAGATGGATTTATTTAATCGACATACCAGCTTCTTTCCCGCCGGAGAACCATCTTTGCAATGTGTGTTATAACCCAAAGGCAGATCCATTAAGATTTCTTCGAAAAGATCACCATTTAGAAATGCGTTATTAACATCTAATTGGGTAATCTGCCATTTATTTATAGCAGCAATGGCAAGAAAGATCTTTACAGTTACAAGCTTAGCCACCGGAGAAAATGTATCAATAAAATCCAAGCCTTCCTGTTGGGTGTATCCCTTGGCCACCAAACGTGCCTTATACCTGTCAACACTTCCATCAGGTTTGTGCTTGATTTTGTATACCCACTTGCAGCCTATGGAATGCTTGTCTTTGGGCAAGGGAATTACAAACCATGTATTGTTAAGTTCCATCGCTTCTAGCTCATCTTTCATTGCCTTTTTCCAATGATCAAAGTGAACAGCCTGATGATAGAATTGGGGTTCAAAGCTGGAAGATATGTTAAGTAGGTATGTACGGTGTGAAGGAGAAAAGGCTTTGTAGGAAAGGTATTTTGTTAAGGGGTAAGGGGTAAGGGGTATTGTGATCAGAGACTGGATCAATGTTAGAAAGAAGATTGCAATAGAATTCTTGAAGGTAAGATGGTGGTCTACAGACTCTTGTTGATCTTCGAGTGACTATCTGTGAAGAGGTGTTAGATGAATGATCATTAATAGGTGCATTATCAGGACTTTGGAAGGGTGGCTCTTGGACTGTGGAGTCACCATTATGAGGCTGAAAGGAAGTTGGACAGGGGGCAATATCAATTGCAGACTTAGGTAAAACAAGATTAGGAAATGGATCAATTAATTCAGATTCGTGTGGAATAGAATGAAAGGGAAATAAGTTTTCATGGAAAATTACATCCCTTGAAACAAAGAATGTTTTGGAGACAATATCATATAGTTTATACCCTTTAATTCCAGGTGGATAACCAATAAAGACACAAGCTGAGGCTCTTGGGTGAAATTTTGTGCGATGAGCTGTTAAAGTGGATGCAAAACATAGGCATCCAAACACCCTCAGGGCATCATACTGGATTGCAGTTTCATATAGAAGAAAGAAAGGAGTTTTATTGTGTAGGACTGGAGATGGGGTTCGATTAATGAAGAATGTGGCCGTGAGGAGACAATCTCCCCAGAATTGGATAGGGACACGAGATTGGAAATATAAAGCCCTTGCAACATTAAGCAAATGTTGGTGTTTCCTTTCAACTACTGAGTTTTGCTCTGGACGTTCAACGCATGAGAACTGATGTATAACTCCTTTGGAGGCAAAAAATTCAGTAAACTGTAATTCAGGAGCATTATCTGATCTAAACTTCTTGATCACTTTGCTAAACTGAGTTTCAATCATGTTGAAGAACCTTGGAATAATGTGACTAACATCAGATTTACTCTTCATCAAGTAAGTCCATGTGAAGCGAGTGCAATCATCAACCAAGGTGAGAAAGAATCTGTGACCAGCATGTGTTGGGGCATGGTATGGTCCCCAAGTATCACAATGAATTAGATCAAAAGCTTGTGAAGACAGATGATTATTCGAAGTAAAAGAAAGTCTCCTTTGTTTAGCCAAAGGACAGATAAAGCATGGAATTGAATCACTAGTCTTGTGATTATTACAACTGATGTCTAAATTGTCTTTCATTATTTCTAACTTTTAAAAAGACAAATGTCCAAGCCTGTTATGCCATGTATCCATAGTTACAACATTTATTGCAGAACAGATTGAAAACAAAGCATCATTATTTTGAACAAAAGAAGGTTGAGCAGCATCCAATACGTATAGATCAGCTATCCTTTTACCCCTGCCAATCGTCTTCAAGGTGTTGAGGTCCTGAATGATGCAAGAATTAGTGAGAAAACTAACATTTATAGATGCTTTCCTTGTTATGGAGCTGACAGAGAGGAGGTTGAATTTGAGCATAGGAGCATATAATACATCTTGAATCACCAGATCTGAGCTTATTTTCACAGTGCCAGTAAAACATATAGAAAGCCTTTCATGGTTAGGCAGAGTAATAAATGCATTCTGAATTGGATTCATCAAAAGGAAAGCTGACTTATTACAGCATATGTGACTTGTGGCCCCTGAATCCACTACCCAGCAAGTTTTGGAATTAAATGTTGGCTGATGAGATATAGATAAACATGTACCTGATATGTGTACTGAATTAGCTCCTGCATCAGTGTCAGTTTTGGTAGTTGTAAGGTGATTGCTTAACATATTCATCAGCTGCTGATATTGAGTGGAGTTTAATTTCTGCATAAATTCTCCAGCGTTGCTATTTTGCTCAGGAATAAACTCAGATACTTGGTTTGAAACAGCATTATTCATTTGGCTGCTGCTGGAGGATGGTTGAGTTGGATAAGGCCTCTGTTTTGCTTTATATCCAGGTGGATATCCATGCAATTTGTAGCATTTGTCAACTACATGACCTGTGTACCCGCAGTATGTGCAGACGGATCTCTCCTTCCTTTGATAATTGCTGCTGTGAGTTTGGTTCACACCAGGTTTCTTCGCGTCATTCTTGACATAGAATGCCATTGAATCGTTAACTTGTTTAATGGATATTATTCGATAAAATGAGCTTTAGCCCTTGTTTGTGCCCTATTTTGAGGGAAAAAAGAATTTTTGAATAATGTATTGATGAGAAATATGTAGTTAAAAAAATTAAATTTTTGTGTAATATTATTTTATTGAAGAATGTGTGATTAAAATGATGTTAAAATACTGTTGAAAAATATATTTTTTTCTAAAGAATGAGACTCAAACAAGGGTTTACAATAGTAAATTATTGAAGAATTTATAATTAACTTAAAGGTACAAAAAAATTTCGAGTTTAGGTGTAAAATATTTAGTCTTGTTTGGCTCAAATTTTAATTCGAATTAAAGTCAAACAATCAATATTATATATATTTTTTATTAAAATTAATTTTTTAATAGATTTTGATAGAAATTTTAAATGCACTGTACGACTGAGTGCCCAAGTGTACGCAATGCAGTACACACATCAACGTGTCACTGTCGGGGAGCTCTAAAATACTCGGCAGCTCCCCCGTCGTTTTCTTCTATTCTATATTTTATTAATTTCTCATCACAATATGTTACAAACTCATTTTTCTCTCTGTAGAGAGAAATCAAGTGAGAGAGACAGACAGGTAACGGTCTTTCTCGCTCCGCCTCTCTTAGTTCAATTTTTAGTTTGCATTTTTCTCATATTTCGATTTAGATCTGGTGTATAACTGATGCATTGTGTGATGAATTTTAGTTTATTACGATGAAAAGTCTGTTTCTTAGCGGCGGATAGTGCGATATCGTTAGATCTTGAGGCGATTGTTTACTTGTCGTTCATTTTGCGCTTCATTATGTATGTGTGTAGTATGTTAATGAACGAATATGGGCGTGCATATGTGAGAGTGGATGGTATTGAGAGATTTTTGTTTAGTTTCTTTCACAAAATGTCTACAGAAAAATTTAAAATAGTTTGAGCTTAAGTTGACTACTGACTGACTTCAATTTGATTGACATAATTGAATATTTTCTTTTCTGGGGCTCATTTATTCGAATACCTTGTAAGTTGTAAGTCAGAGAGAGAGAGAGAGAGCATATGAAATTTTTTTTTTTGTTTTAATTGCTAAAATGTAGATTGAAGGCCGACCTGATCGGGAATTCACTTGATTTTCATTTTACTTATTTCTGTATTTAATTGTTTTTAATTGGATATTTATGTGATTAGAGATAGATCATATCTATAATTTGGGGAACTCTAATTGAAAGAGTTATCTTTTCAGTGAAGAGGCTTTAGGCATGTGGAAATCTGAGTGAAGCTGATATCTATTTGCTTGTAAATCCATCGATCTCATTTAAGCCAAATGATGATGGAATCTGAAGCAGAAATTAAGGTTAGTACAAAAAGTTTCTGCATTGTTATTTTTAATGTTCGTGGGATGCTTAATATGCTTCAAGGCTGATAGCTAGCTTTTCTGACTTTTAACTGAATATGAACTGTTGATTTTATAAAATCCCATAATTTGCACTTCTTTATTCCCCATGTACTATGATCTGTAGATTGTAGCACTAAATTTAACTTAAGTAACGTCAACTTTTATGCTGAATGATTTATAGATTGTGAAATTAAATTGAATTTTATGACTTAGAGTATGCTGAATCTTTTGTCTCATTTTTTGAGTTTACTTCTCTGACTGAATTGTTTATGCAGTGTATTTTAGAATAACTAAACCTCGGGTTCATTGGGTTTCTTTTGTTACTGAAATGTGGTACTGAATTATCAGGGAAAGACCTTGAAGAACATGGGCAGTCAGGTCTGCCAGATCTGTGGTGATAACTTGGGGTCAACTGTTGATGGTGAGCCATTTGTTGCTTGTGATGTCTGTGCATTTCCAGTTTGCAGGCCTTGCTATGAATATGAGAGGAAGGATGGAAATCAGTCCTGCCCTCAGTGCAAAACCAGATATAAGAGACACAAAGTTATATTTACTGTAGGCATGTTGATGTTTAGTAATTGACTCTACATGAGTATGAGCACATTTATTAAAGATGATATCAATATGTTAATGGTTTTTTCTTTTTCAATGGTTATACTATTACTTATTTTTGATATTTTTATGTATATTAGTACACGATACAAAGTTGTTTTCAGCTGCAGTAAGAATGTATTAGGAATAAAAAAACTCATTGAGGTTGTAAGAAATTGACTTCAAGTGACCACTTGCTGTCCAACTAAGAGCAACAAAATGTAACAGAACAACAGGAAAGCTTAGGGTCTGTTCTCTTTCACGTTTTCAGCTTGTTTTCTGTTTTCGATTTTCCAAAATGATGCCTCTCCAGTAGTAGGGTTTTCTGTGCGCCTCCGCTAGCCTTGGTGAACTCTTCAACTCCGATGGTTTCCTATTCTCCTCGGTTCGCCTCCTCAGATCGGCCGGTATATTGCGTGAAGAGGTAAATTTCTGTTAAAATGTCATCGATTCCATTCGCATTTCTTCCATTTTTCAACTAATTAGTAAATTTCGGTTTAGTGTTTTCCTAAGTTGCTTCTGCTTTTTGGGCTTCATGTTTTATGGTTTTGAACTGATGCTGTTTTCCATCAGATCTGGTTCAATGGGTTCATTATTTGTTTTATTCTCAAAAAATGCAATTTAAGAATTTTCTGATTTGAAGGAGAGTGTTGTTTTAGTAGAAAACATGGAGCGCCTTCACATTTATGTTGCCACCATCAATTATTCGCTGGTTCTAATTAAAGAGTTTTACAAATGTGCTATAACACCAAGATGGAAAAAGTTCCACATATTTGAAGTATTGATCCGATTTTATTATGTCGATATGAGAATTATAATGTTGTTGATATTTATGTTATTCAGTGTCAATTATGATGGTATCGACAAAACTATATTTTCTGGTGATACTACAAATATTGATTTTATGGCATAGAAGCCAAACTGAAATAATACATTAGAATATGCTACATTTTAATGATGGATGGATGTGATCAGGATGATGAGTTATAGTTTTCATATGTGCGATTTACATGAGTTTTATACATATTGACAATCAACGATTATATAGATCTGTCAACTTGAAGGGACAATATCTTTATGTAATGTGATATGGAGATCAAACACAATTTGATAGGGAATTGTTACTTAGAAATTTATTTTGCTCAAACATAATTTGATAGGGAATTGTTACTTGGAAATTTATTTTGTTTGGCTGATGTTGAAATTTATTTTGCTCGGTTGATAGATGATAAACAATTATATACATGAAGAAAGTGTGTATTAACATGATTTGAAGGTTGGAATTTCTGTATTCGGCCTGCTTCTCTTCAATTCTGTGACGAATTTTATTTTCAATATGTATGGTTGATAAAAAATTCGTGGATTCCACGAAAATTGCTTCTTAGCTTGTCTTCAATAGTCGAAGTTCAATGGATTCCTTCATGAGGGTGAAAATTGTTTCGTGGATTCCTATCTGAAATTTTTTCTTTCCTTCAATTGAGATTTCTGGTGGGAATTGGAAATTTAATAAAAACATCTAGTTGACCTTTAAGAGCAAAACAAAATAATTTGATATTATATTACACCATTTGTCTTATGATTCCATTAATTAAATTATCTTAATGTACCAACTTGATTAGGTTAAGGTCTACCTTCAACCAACTTTCCCTATAATTAGAGACGTTCATATGACTAATTCTCATCAATCTTACCGTCTCGTTGAAGTGCCTTGATGATGCAGCCTCCAACTGCATCTTATGCGGAGAGACTGAACATTTCTCGTAGCAAGGGATTAGATCTAAAAATGTTTACTTGGGTATTCATGTATGCTATTCTCGTAGGAGCATCATTACCCCAAACAGATTTCTCTTCCAATATAGGTATTGCATACTGTCCAATCAGGCCCCGGACAAATTGGGAACAAGAATTCATACTCATCAAGCAATTGAATAAGCTAATTGATAAGTTAAATTATTCGGCTGAAAAGGACGAAATAGAAATTATGAAACAGGTAACAATTATATGCCGCTAGTTTTGTGAAGGATAATTTAACAAATTTAGCAACTTGTTTGTAATAGTTTGTGAAAAAGTACGAGTATTTTCGTAAAGTCTCACCTTATGAGTATTTTTGTAATGTTTGTGCCTTCCAATTATGATAGTTTTTATGATAAAATTTTTCCAAAAATTACCGTCTCAACTTTTCCTTCACCAATGATGCTCAAGTTTCATGATCAACTTGGAAGACATTCTAATCTTTTACACAATATGCGATGCATCAAAGAAGTAACTTCTTATTACTTTTCCAACTTGGTACCTGCTGGTAGTAACTTCTTATTACTTTTCCAACTTGGTATTTGCTGGTAGTAATTTCGTTGCAAAGATTCTTGAATTTGTAAGTTAAAATGATGTTTGGCAATGCGTTGATCATTATAATTATGGGTACATGTGTTAGGTATTCTTTTGAGCATTTGGTGGTATGTGACTATAATTAAATATATTAATATGTCCTCAAATCGCATACGGAAGGTCTTATATATTTGATGATAATTTGATGTATATGAATATAGCGTCAACATAGGTGGTCATAGAGTTCGAAATAAGGAACCAATGTCATGGTCTGACGAGAATGAACACGCTTTTATTGAAATTATTTACGAGAAAGTGAAATCAAATGTATTGCAATGTTCTACATTCACAAGAGACGAATGGGGCAGGATCAATAAAACCATGATAGCTTCAACAAAAATGGATTACGGCATAGATAGATTAAAAGGAAAGTGGAACCGCTTGCGTAAGATTTATCGCATGTTTTCTGAACTTTTGGGACATACGGGTGTTACATGGGATTCAAATACTAACAAAGTTAATGCTGCAGGGGAAGTTTGACAACACTTTTATACGGTACATATATTAATGAAAGAATATGTTCGTTCTTATTTTTTATCTTATGAATTTTATATTGTTTTCTTCAATACGCTAACAATGTGGTTTCCTTTTTCAATGTTAGATTGACAAGTCGGATTACAAGTTGTTCAAGAGGGAAGGATGTAAGCACTACCACACTTTTGGGGAGATATTCAGCGGGACTACAGCTACTGGAGGATTAGGCAGTGCCTCCACCCAGCGTCCAAGCACATCAGAGGAAGAAAGGCAGCTAGAAGATGATTTTTTGAATAAAGGAGTACATGTGACTGTGGGAAATGATGATGAAGTCAATGTGGTTTCAAATTCTTGTCCATGTAACGAAATTGGTACATCGGGTGAATGACGACGTAAGGAACATAAGGTCAGTAAGAGTGATAAGCTCGAGGCTTATATGGTACAGTGGTCATCTACAGTTAGTTTGAGGAATGAAGAAACTGAACTTAGAACACTTTACCTAAAAGAGAAGCTTGCAAAGATCAAAGGAAAAGGTAGTTGTCAATCAAATAATGAAGTTACTAGTCCAGATCCTTGTTCAAATGTTACTTGCTTGGATATTTTAAACAATATGGAAGGGATATCCAATGAGGTTTACATGAAAACAATAAAGGCTCTCAAGGATCCCGATTTCAGGGTGTCATTTGTGAAGATGCCAGAAGAAAGGAGAGGACATATCTTGGAACTACTTTGATGTGATTGTTGTTATGTTGAAGTACCATGTTAAACTTGAGGCTTGAAGTACCTTTTTTTTTTTTTTTCCCATTTTGTGGTGATGTTGTACTGTTTTCATTTACAAACATTGTGATGTTGTTGGTCGGAGAACTGATGTTGATTTGTCTTCACTTTTTTAATGCTTGATTGCTTGTTTTATTGAATTAATGGTGGTTGATATGACTTATGACAATTAATTTGTTTATATTTTGTTCGCAGTATTGCTAGTGAGTCAAATGTGGATGATAATGTGCATTCCGATGAGTCCATTTAGGAAGAATCGAGTGATGATGAGTTGTTATATATGGATGATGTTGACGTAAATTTTGGAGAGTTAGTGGTGCTTAATTACTTCGTTGCCAACAAAGGAAGTATCATTGGCAGGACACCTTGTAGAACATCATCGCTTACAGAGAAAATGTACATCCTAGAAATTTTGAATGGACATCCGGACGTATGCTATCGTAATTTTCATATGCAGAAACACGTTTTCATGAATTTATGTGACATTTTGAAAGAGAAAGGGTTACTGAAAGATGGGAAAAAAGTAAGCGTCGAGGAGGGTGTGGCTATGTTTATGATGATTGTAGGGCACACTACACGATACAGTGTTATTGGTGATAGGTTTCAGCATTTCAACAACACGATACACAAATGGTTTAAACGAGTTGTTAGGGCTGTTATCTCATTTGGCACTTAAATAATCCGTTCGACAAATCAAAACATTGTGCATGAGCGGATTTTGCGCTAATATCCTTTCTTTAAGGATTGCATAGACGCAATAGATGGAACACATGTTGCAGTTTGAGCTCCTGCATTAAGACAAACATCTTTTAGAGGAAGGAAAACAAATGTAACACAAAATGTGATGTTGACATGTGATTTTGATATGAAATTCACTTTGTGTATTGTGGTTGGGAAGGTACTGCTAATGATTAGCGAGTATTCGTTGATGCAGTCCAAACTTTTGCCCAATTTGTGGAAATGTTTCATATATCCAATACTGCAACAAAATTACAAGTAAATGTCGATGTATATAATATATTTTTTTACGAAGAAATTATACGGAATACAGGAACACTTAGAATATGAACAACATACTTGAAATACAAGTGGATAGCCTTGTACTGCATACTTACATTTCTGTTTGTCAGTTCTGTTGCATCCTTACCACTCGTTCCAATTGCGACTCTTTTAACGAATTTAACAAAACGAAATATGTGTGTTACGGCCCCATGGATACGTAAGGAACGCATTAAGATGTTCAACTATGCCCAACGTTTTATAATCAATTTGTCTTGAAGTCTGTTTCAACACGCACTCCACCAACATAACTAGTCCCAACTTAAATTTATCTTCCTCGTCTTCGCACATGTGGAAAGCTTCAAAAATTATTCTATTGCTAATTTTTTTGACCCCATTGAAGTATTGATCTCTAAGACGATCATTATTATAGTCAATTTCAATGGATGGTTCATGACAAGGTAGTCCAGTAATTAGGCAAAATTCTTGCATGCCGAACCTGGCAACATGATCATCTAACCGTACCCAAAGGTCATTATTTTTGCCACAATGTACAATTCGCATTATAAATTCGTGTATCAACTTACTACTAAATTGCTCTTGTAGTCCCCTGAACATAACTCCGTAAACAAATCCACAAAAATGACTACACGGTAAAGAACATTGTTGATTGGCATCTATGAATTCTACAAAATCTTTAATGCATTCGCAATTTAGATACTGGACGATGCTAGTAGAAAACCACTGATCTGCAGAGAGAACGTATTCTAAAGGCATCTGCGTAAATTACACAATAATGAATATTTTCAAACGAATATATTATTTTGTTTACGAAAATCCAATATAGAAAATGAACGTGAAAAAAAGTGTACAATTGATCGTAAATTATATTGTTAGACAAATCTGTTTTTGTTTACAAAACCACATCCTAAAACCTGAGAACAATAAAACAGAAAAAGAAAAAAAAGGGAACAACATTTCTCATGGAGACACTCTCCGTGACACACACGAAGAACTCTGTGTGTGTCACGGAGACAGTCTCCGTGACACGGACACAGTGTCTGTGATAATCATTATTACGGCAACGCTAGAAACTCGAATGCTAATCATTATTACGGCAACGCCAGAAACTCTGTGTTGATTTATTTGATACTAATGTCGATTGTGTCATACAGTGCATACTTGGACGACGGCAGTGGGAACGTCTACAGAAGGGACATGCTGAGAACGCTACTGGATTGAACGAAAGATCTGAATATTGCGGTACGAAATTTTAGCAACCACACTCAATTTGATTTCGTAGTTAATATGTCTGATATATGTTACATGTGTTTATTTTATTAGTATATTGAGTTGAAGCTGAAGTTATTGAGGCGGCGTATGAATGAAGGTTGTACACTTATCAATAAACAATATGCAATTTTGGACTTCCAATTCGAAGAAGAGTACTCTCGTCACATAGGTGGCAAATGGACTTTCGAATGGGAAACCAGAGAGGTGAAATGGATGGAACGCGCCTACAAGACTATGTCAATGGTAGATTGCCTGTAGATGACTGTCCGTGGATGGGGTGCAAGTATTTATTAATTCCAAGCTCATATCCAGGCAATGAATGTTATCTTTTCATGGTCAATATTCCTGATTGGAAATTCCAGATATACGACTGCAGCAATAATGTTCACACACCAGATGCAATCAAGGCACACGCAAACGCAACATACACTATGGTTCAAGGATTATTGCAGTGTCCATCCCTTTCCGCCAGACGAGACATAAATAAACATATCAAGGAACAAATGAAGTAAGAGATTATATCTTATCTACCATGTGCAAACAATGGGTGAGCATTTCAACTATTGTTATTTATTATCGTTGTTAAGTTCTTATTTATGGCACATTACACTAACGTACAAACATTTCTTGTACATGCCAAATTGCATAATGTTTGTATTCAAATATATAGAATGCTTCGTTCTAAGGTATCCAATAGAAACAGTTTCAGCGAACAGGATGTCACTATACAGACGAAAGATTGCAGTGGATTTTTGTCAAAACGAGTACTTTCTTCATCCTAGCAGTGAAAACGACGTTCTGAAATTGTGTAGCGGTTTTAGATAGATAATGCAGTGTTCAAAGTTTACTTCTATTCTTTGTAAGGTAGTTAAATTAAATAGTTGCTCTGAAGGTCTGTTAGCATTTTTGTTGTTGACATAATAATAACAAATACAGCTTGCTTGTCGATATGGATGTCGAACTGTGGTGTGTCGTTCTGGAGTCGTCGTGCAGCTGGAAACTGATAGGAACTGGTGACGATTGCTATGGGACGCATTCACGGTGTGGGAAGGTGAAAGATCAAGGGGCAGTGCACGGGTTCTTCAAATATTCGACGGGTAGGTACACTGTTGCCGGGTTCGGATCTGAATGTTGGAGAAAGAAAGTGTCTGTGGGAGGGGCATTGTGAGGGAGAAAATGAAATATTTATTTTATGCATGGTTGTCAGAAAAGTGGGTGGCAGGAAAGAAAAAACATTTTGTGCCTTTTTATGCATGCGTGCGTCGTCAGGGTGGCAAGTGGGAGGGGTATTGTGAGGAAAAGAGAAAAAATTATTTATTATATAATTACGCAGGGATTGTCAGATAAGTGGGTGGCAACGTTCAAATAATTAATTTTGGGTAGGTAAAAATGGCTACTAAATAGCCTCATAAATTTTGAAATTGGTGAATCTTAAAATATTTTTTGGCAACACAATTCACTAGATACTATTATAAGTTTACATGCCATGGTAAGCAAGCACTAAACAAAATATAAAGTACATCCAAACTGTTATGTACGACGTCTTGAGTAGTCATTCCACATTTGTGTAGCAATTTGATCCCTTACTTGTCCCATTTGAGTTGTTTGACTAGCATCAAAATGTATTACTTCTTTATCTTGACTTGACTTCGGCATGTCTTGAAACACCATATTCTTCTCACCATACTCTACGAACAACTTATCTAAAGCGTGCTCCTGGCGTATAAAGTTGTTTATTACGCAACATGCAGTGGGGATTTGTCTTTGCCTACTAAGTGGATAATTGGTAATCAAATTCAAAATAGGAAATCTTGCCTTTAAAACTCCAATGCAACGTTCAATAATGTTACGGCATGAAGAGTGTCTATAATTGAACAATTCTTCATTCCCAAGTAGCCTTCCCCGTCCAATATAGTCACGCAGATGATATCTATGACCTCAATAGGGGACAAGAAATCCTGGCAAGTTTGGATATCCAGAATCAACAAGGTAAAATTGATCTGCAAAAAAAAAAAGGCTTTTACAGTGTGATGCTATAAATATATTCACAATAATTATTTGACGTATACGAATGTACCTCCCCGTGGCATTAGAAAGTTGTTCGAGCTTCTTGTGACTGCATCAACGAATACTCGCGAATCATTAGTAGTACCTTCTCAACCACAATACACAAATGTGAATTTCATATCAAAATCACATGTCAATATCACATTTTGTGTTACATTTGTTTTCCTTCCTCTAAAAGATGTTTGTCTCGATGCAGGAGCTCAAGCTGCAACATGTGTTCCATCTATTACTCCTATGCAATCCTTAAAGAAAGGATATTTGCGCAAAATCCGCTCATGCACAATGTTTTGATTTGTCGGACGGATTATCTCAGTGCCAAATGAGATAACAGCCCTAACAACTCGTTTAAACCATTTGTGTATCGTGTTGTTGGAATGCTGAAACCTATCACCAATAACACTGTATCGTGTAGTGTGCCCTACAATCATCATAAACATAGCCACACTCTCCTCGACGCTCACTTTTTTCCTATTTTTCAGTAACCCTTTCTCTTTCAAAATGTCACATAAATTCATAAAAACGTGTATCTGCATACGAAAATTACGATAGCATACGTCCGGATGTCCATTCAAAATTTCTAGGATGTACATTTTCTCTGTAAGCGATGATGTTCTACAAGGTGTCCTCCCAATGATACTTTCTTTGTTGGCAACAGAGTAATTAAGCACCATTAACTCTCCAAAATTTACGTCAACATCATCCATATATAACAACTTATCATCACTCGATTCTTCCTCAATGGACTCATCGGAATGCACATTATCATCCACATTTGATTCACTAGCAATACTGCGAAGAAAATATAACCAAATTAATTATCATAAATCATATCAACCACCATTAATTCAATAAAACAAGCAATCAAGCATTAAAAAAGTGAAGACTAATCAACATCAGTTCTCCAACCAACAACATCACAATGTTTGTAAATGAAAACAGTACAACATCACCACAAAATGGAAAAAAAAAAGTACTTGAAGCCTCGAGTTTAACATGGTACTTCAACATAACAAACAATCACATATTAAAACAACAATCACATCAAAGTAGTTCCAAGATAGGTCCTTTCCTTCCTTCTGGCATCTTTACAAATGATACCCTAATCGGGATCCTTGAAAGCCTTTATTGCTTTCATGTAAACCTCATTGGACACCCCTTCCATATTATTTAAAATGTCCAAGCAAGTAACATTTGAACAAGGATCTGGACTAGTAACTTCATTATCTGATTGCAACTGCCTTTTCCTTTGATCTTTGCAAGCTTCTCTTTTAGGTAAAGTGTTCTAAGTTCAGTTTCTTCATTCCTCAAACTAACTGTAGATGACCACTGTGCCATACAGGCATCTAGCTTATCACTTTTACTGAACTTAGGTTCCTTACGTCGTCATTCACCTGATTTACCAATTTCGTTACGTGGACGAGTATTTGAAACCACATCGACTTCATCATCATTTTCCGCAGTCACATGTACTCCTCTATTTAAAAAATCATCTTCTACTTGCCTTTCTTCCTCTAATGTGTTTGGACGCTGGGTGGAGGCACTGCCTAATCCTCCAGTAGCTGTAGTCCCGCTGAATATCTCCCCAAGAGTGTGGTAGTGCTTACATCCTTCCCTCTTGAACAACTTGTAATCCGACTTGTTAATCTAACATTGAAAAAAGAAACCACATTGTTAGCGTGTTGAAGAAAACAATATAAAATTGATAAGATAAAAATTAAGGACGAACATATTCTTTCATTAATAAATGTACCGTATAAAAGTGTAGCCAAACTTCCTTTGCAGCATTAACTTTGTTAGTATTTGGATCCCATGTAACACCCGTATGTCCCAAAATTTCAGAGAACATGTGATGAATCTTACACAAGCGGTTCCACTTTCATTTTAATCTATCTATGCTGCAATCCATTTTTGTTGAAGCTATCATGGTTTCATTGATCCTGCCCCATTCGTCTCTTGTGAATATAGAACATTGCAATGCATTTGATTTCACTTTCTCGTAAATAATTTCAATAAAAGCGTGTTCATTCTCGTCCGACCATGACATTGGTTCCTTATTCCGAACTCTATGACCACCCACGTTGACGCTATATTCATATACATCAAATTATTATCAGATATATAAGACCTTCCATAGGCGATTTGAGGACATCTTAATGTATTTAATTATAGTCACATACTACCAAATGCTCAAAAGAATACCTAACACATGTACCCATAATTATAAGGATCAACACATTGCCAAACATCATTTTAACTTACAAATTTAAGAATCTTTGCAATGAAGTTACTACCAGCAGATACCAAGTTGGAAAAGTAATAAGAAGTTACTTCTTTGATGCATTGCATATTGTGTAAAAGATTAGAATGTCTTCCAAGTTGATCATGAAACTTGAGCATCATTGGTGAACGAAAAGTTGAGACGGTAATTTTTAGAGAAATTTATCATAAAAACTATCATAATTGGAAGGCACAAACATTACAAAAATACTCATAAGGTGAGACTTTACGAAAATACTCGTACTTTTTCACAAACTATTACAAACAAGTTGCTAAATTTGTTAAATTATCCTTCACAAAACTAGCGGCATATAATTGTCACCTGTTTCATAATTTCTATTTCGTCCTTTTTAGCCAAATAATTTAACTTATCAATTAGCTTATTCAATTGCTTGATGAGTATGAATTCTTGTTCCCAATTTGTCTGGGGCCTGATTGGACAGTATGCAATATTTATATTGGAAGAGAAATCTGTTTAGGGTACTGATGCTCCTACGAGAATAGCATACATGGATACCTAAGTAAACATTTTTAGATCTAATCCATTGCTACGAGAAATGTTCAGTCTCTCTGCATAAGATGCCGTTGGAGGCTGCATCATCAAGGCACTTCAACAGAGAGGGTAAGATTGATGAGAATTAGTCATATGAACATCTATAGTTATAGGGAAAGTCGGTTGAAGGTAGACCTTAACCTATTCAAGTTGGTATATTAAGATAATTTAATTAATGGAATCATAAGACAAGTGGTGTAATATAATATCAAATTATTTTGTTTTGCTCTTAAAGGTCAACTAGATGTTTTTATTAAGTTTCCAGTTCCGACCAGAAATTTCAATTGAAGGAAAGAAAAAAATTCATATAGGAATCAACGAAACAATTTTCACCCTCATGAAGGAATCCATTGAACTTCGGCTATTGAAGACAAGCTGAGAAGCAATTTTCATGGAATCCACAAATTTTTTATCAATCGTACATATTGAAAATAAAATTCGTCACAGAATTGAAGAGAAGTAGGTCGACGACAAAAATTCCAACCTTCAAATCATGTTAATACACACTTTCTTCATTTATATAATTATTTACCATCTATCAGCTGAGCAAAATAAATTTCAACATCAGCCAAACAAAATAAATTTCCAAGTAACAATTCCCTATCAAATTGTGTTTGAGCAAAATAAATTTCCAATTAACAATTCCCTATCAAATTGTGTTTGATCTCAATATCACATTACATAAAGATATTGTCCCTTCAAGTTGACAGATCTATATAATCGTTGATTGTCAATATGTATAAAACTTGTGTAAATCGCACATATGAAAACTATAACTCATCATCCTGATCACATCTATCCATCATTAAAATGTAGCATATTCTAATGTATTATTTCAGTTTGGCTTTTATGCCATAAAATCAACATTTGTAGTATCACCAGAAAATACAGTTTTGTCGATACCATCATAATTGACACTGAATACATAAATATCAACAACATTATAATTCTCATATCGACATAATAAAACCGGATCAATACTTCAAATATGTGGAACTTTTTCCATCTTGGTGTTATAGCACATTTGTAAAACTTTTTAATTAGAACGCAGCGAATAATTGATGGCGGCAACATAAATGTGAAGGCGCTCCATATTTTCTACTAAAACAACACTCCTTGAAATAAGAAAATTCTTAAATTGTATTTTCTGAGAATAAAACAAACAATGAACCCATTGAACTAGATTTGATGGAAAACAGCATCAGTTCAAAACTATAAAACATGAAGCCCAAAAAGCAGAAGCAACTTAGGAAAACACTAAACCGAAATTTACTAATTAGATGAAAAATGGAAGAAATGCGAATGGAATCGATGACATTTTAACAGAAATTTAACTCTCTTACCGCAATATATCGGCCGATCTGAGGAGGCGAACCGAGGAGAATAGGAAATCGTCGGAGTTGAAGAGTTCACCGAGGCCGGCGGAGGCGCACAAAAAACCCTACTGTTGGTGAGGCGAGAAGAGTTACGGAAAGAGAGGGACGACAGTGAGAGTGTGAGAGAGAGAGGTAAGGGTTGGTTTAATTTGGGTTATAGTTTTCCATCAAACCCGTGTTTTCTACATAAAACACTCAAAACGTCAATTTTGACGTTTTCAGTTTTTAGTGCAATTTTTTGTTTTGTTTTCAAAACTTCATTTTCGAAAACGTGAAAGAAAACACGTTTTCATCATTTTGAAAAATCGAAAACAGAAAACGATCCTTATTATAGGAATGTTGATTATGAGTGCATTTGAGTCCTCTTCGTCGTCCCCTTTGTTTTGTGGATAAATACCGGTCATTCAATTTTTATCTTCGAATTCTTGAGAAAACTAGCAAATGTACATTTCGAGTGGTGATTAATAATACTTGAAACTTAAGTCTGGATTTTCTGAAAGCGACTTCTTGCACTTCCACTCTATACAGGAAGTCTTGCTATAAGTAGTGATGGAAAGGATGATGGTGCCAGTGATCTTCATTACTTTGAAACACAAAATGAGAAGCAAAATGTTTCGGAGCGTATGTTGAGCTGGCACATGAATTATGGACGGGGAGAAGATACTGGGGCACCAAACTATGACAAAGAGGTCTTCCACAATCACATTCCTTTGCTTACAAGCGGAACAGACGTATGTTTTTATGCTTCTTGTCCATTGCTTCATACCTCCAACCCAAAAATATATATATTTGTTTTGTGTAATAGAGATACTTAAAAACTCCCACTCTCTATTACAGGTTTCTGGAGAACTGTCTGCTGCGTCACCTGGACGCCTTTCAATGTCATCTCCTCCACCTGAGGGTGGTGGTAAATGTATGCATCTACTTTCCTCGCAACTTGTATGGATAAATCACAAATTTTTTTATTTTTTGTTTTATTTTTGGTTTTATGACTTCATTTATTCTTGCTTTACGTTCTTTTTGTTACCTGTTTGGCACTTATATTCTTTCTTTTAAGGGCAGCTATGGCTGTGGATCCAGTGAGGGAATTTGGATCCCCAGGATTGGGCAATGTTGCCTGGAAAGAGAGAGTTGATGGCTGGAAGATGAAGCAGGAAAAAAATGTTGTTCCAATGACAACCAGCCACCCCCCTTCGGAAAGGGGAGCTGGAGATATTGATGCCAGCACAGATATTCTTGTGGATGACTCTTTGCTGTGAGTCCTTATTATTCTAGTTATATTGATAATTTGGCTTCTCACTGATTATCTTCTGGTCATGATATCTGGGAGTATTGTTATGAATCCATAGAAGACCTTAGTTTTGTACCTTTTTAGCTGCACAAGTTTCAGTTCAATTTGGTTTTTTATGTAAAAGAAGTTAGTGTGATTCCTTGTATTTTACATAGAGACTGTTTTATACAAATAAAATGAGGCAAGTGTTTTCTAAGCAAGATTTGTCAAATAAGGGAACTGTGGGTCCTTTACCTGATTTGTCATCATGCTGCAGGAATGATGAAGCTTGACAGCCCCTTTCAAGGAAGGTTTCTGTGCCATCATCCAGGATAAACCCTTACAGGATGGTTATTATGTTACGGCTTGTTATTATCTGCATTTTCTTACACTACCGATTGACAAATCCTGTGACCAATGCATATGCTTTGTAGTTGATATCTGTGATCCGCGAGATCTGGTTTGCTATATCCTGGATTCTGGATCAATTCCCGAAATGGCTCCCAGTAAATCGTGAAACATATCTCGACAGACTTTCTCTTAGGCGGGAAATTTTCTGTTTATTCAAATATACTTTTTGGTCTTCATTTTGCTCAATTCAATTCACTTTTGTTTTTCTGAAATGATCCAAACCATCATTTTCTACAAGGGTTTCTTCTTCTGATTACATTATAAGAGTTCCAAATTATACATCTGATTTTGGGAATATATAAAATTGTACAACAGATATGATCAAGAAGGGGAGCCTTCACAATTAGCTGCTGTTGACATATTTGTCAGTACTGTTGACCCTTTGAAGGAGCCTCCTCTTGTTACAGCTAACACAGTCTTATCCATTCTGGCTGTTGACTATCCAGTGGACAAGGTCTCATGCTACGTTTCTGATGATTATGTTAACCTTTGAAGCTCTATCAGAAACATCAGAATTTGCAAGGAAATGGATCCCTTTCTGCAAAAAATACAATATTGAACCACGTGCTCCAGAATGGTACTTCTGTCAGAAGATTGACTACTTGAAAGATAAAGTTCATCCATCATTTGTCAAAGATCCTAGGGCTATGAAGGTGAGAAATTCATATTGCAAAACATTTCCAGTCTGTTTCCTTTGGTCCAGGAGTCCTACTTTTGTTCTTTCTTGTCCTACAGCGAGAATATGAAGAGTTCAAAATTCGAATCAATGCACTTGTTGCTAAGGCCCAAAAGGTTCCTGAAGAAGGTTGGGTCATGCAAGACTGTACACCATGGCCAGGAAATAACACCAGGGATCACCCAGGAATGATTCAGGTTAGCTTAGTTCATGGAACTGTGTTACAGATCCCTGCATACAATGGTTTCCCATTGTATGCTTAATGTTAAAATGTTCAGAAAAAAATTATATATTTATAAAAATATTGATATCTATTCAAAGTATTTCAAAACTAATTGTTTTTAATCCTCTTATGTGTGATAGGCAAACACTTATCATATTTTTTATCACCGCTTGGTGGATTTAACACTGTCATCATCGTACTTGCATCTCCACAGTTTTGTGTTATATTTGAAGTAACTCATCTAGATTCTGTTGCTTGCAGGTTTTCCTAGGCCAAAGTGGAGGTCTTGACAGTGAGGGTAATGAGCTGCCCAGATTAGTGTATGTTTCTCTTGAGAAGCGTCCAGGATTCCAGCATCACAAGAAAGCTGGTGCTATGAATGCACTTGTAAGTAGTTGACGATTGTGATCTGCTGTTATTTTAACATTGCCTGGTTGGCACATTTAACATTTTATGTGCAATTCAACTCTTGCAGGTTCGTGTATCAGCAGTTCTTACTAATGGACCTTTCTTGCTGAATCTTGACTGTGATCACTACATAAACAACAGCAAAGCTTTGTGATAAGCAATGTGCTTTCTTATGGATCCAAATCTTGGAAAATATGTTTGTTATGTGCAATTTCCACAGAGATTTGACGGTATTGACAAGAATGATCGATATGCCAATCGTAACACTGTCTTCTTTGATGTTAGTTCATGATCACTGTTATTATTAGTTGTGTTTCATTCCTACTAGAGTATCCAAATGAACCGTAATAAATAATTTGATACTATTTGGTATTCATATTAACTTGTTCTTTTTCTTTGTGCTATTAGATTAATTTGAGAGGTTTGGATGGTATTCAAGGCCCTGTGTATGTGGGTACTGGATGTGTCTTCAACAGAACAGCTTTGTACGGTTATGAGCCTCCTCACAAACCTAAGCAGAAGAAATCTGGGTTTCTCTCTTCCTGTTTTGGTGGGTCAAGAAAGAAAAGTTCTAAATTGAGCAAGAAGGGGTCAGACAAAAAGAAATCTAAAAGGCATGTTGATCCCACTGTTCCAATTTTCAGCTTGGAGGGTATAGAGGAGGGTGTTGAAGGTATTGTTTCTGTTTAAATCTATATTATTGAGTCCTCACTTGCATTGACCGTACATATTTGGTATTAAGGCACAAAACAATTACATGTATCATGTCTTGTCCTGTTTAATTAATTGATATGTATTCTAAAACGTAGTACCTGTAAGTGACCAAAATAAAGGGTAGTAAGAGTATGTCGAGCATTTTTTAAACATAATACTACAAGTATATAAACTTCTTTTAATCTTTGCTCAGGGCTAAAAGGCTAATCCCTGCCATTGATCCTGGACTGACACTCTTTGGTGGTCCTTTCCATCTTTTCTGCCTGTTCCTATTTTTTTTTTTTTTTCCGTCTGGGTGGGGCTTCTGAGGTAATTATTGGATCGTATGAACTGGCTTCATAATGGGCCAGTGAAGTACTGGAATGCAACCATTGGGTGTCGTCCATGTCACTTGAGTACATCTCACATTACTTAGTTGTAATTGTTTTCAAAATTTTCAAATACGCAGGAAATGTTTTAGTTTCTTCTCCTCCTAATCATTCTTATTTCATGATCTACCTGTTTTTCACGAATCTTGGCACACTCAATTGGTTCTCTGCATATTGAGATTTCTCCTTTTGTCTTGTGGACAGACAGAAGATGCCAACAAGAATTTTCTCTGCAAGTTTATTTTATTAACCTTTTCATTTGATTTTTTTTTTTTTTGGGGGGTTAATTTTTCCCTCTTTTGATTCTAGGTGCTGGATTTGATGATGAGAAGTCACTGCTTATGTCCCAAATGAGCCTTGAGAAAAGATTGGGCAGTCTGCAGTTTTTGTTGCATCCACACTAATGGAGAATGGTAGCGTACCTCAGTCTGCTACACCGGAGACTCTTCTAAAAGAGGCCATTCATGTTATCAGCTGTGGGTATGAAGATAAGACGGATTGGGGAAGTGAGGTAAATTGGCTGTTCTTTAATTGCCATTGAGGTTCCTTCTTCACAGCACTATTCCATTGTTTATCCACATAATTACAAAATGTTGCTATTGCCTTGTGACTGGAAGGGCATGGTTGAATACTGGGAGATAAATTATTGGTACAGGGGTTACATTTGATGTAGACTAACAAGTACAAAAATGATTTGACATGATTCTATGAATTTTTTTGTACTTTAGTCACGACTTTCAACTTCATAATGAGATGAAATAAAAAGTAAAGATCCGGATTCATGGATTTTATAAGTGTATTCATTTTTGTTGATAATTTTTCCTGTGATTTCATTAGGTGTATTTGGAACTGGAAGTCCACGACACGCTCCTTTCTGCCGTTGTCAATAGAAATCAATTAATGGCATGCTGATATTGGTTATGTACCTTCATCTCTTTGCCCTCCTCTGCAATCCCCAAGCAGGGGAAAGAAACAGTATAGTGAAGCCAATTCTAAGCAGTTATTTTGCTTAGATTGTTCATTAATTGTATTTAAATACTTTTGAGTGCTGCCCCTATCCAGCAAAATTGATGTTTGGAGTAGACCTTTAGGATATATATGAACAATTTTCTCCCTATTATATCTCTATCACTTCTCTACCTGTTCGATATTTCCGAAATTTATATCTTTATACTGGTACTTGATATTTGGAGGTAGTGCTGTCTAGGAACCCCTTTTTTGTTCCTCTACTTGGAACAAGTAAATCTCTTAAATATCATGTGTCTGTAGAATGCTCATTTCCAATTGTTGTGCAGATTGGATGGATTTATGGTTCTGTTACAGAAGATATTCTTACTGGATTCAAGATGCATGCGCGTGGTTGGCGATCAATTTACTGCATGCCTCCTAGACCAGCCTTCAAGGGATCAGCTCCAATTAATCTTTCTGATCGTCTCAACCAAGTGCTTCGATGGACTTTGGGATCTCTGGAGATTTTGTTTAGCAGACTCTGTCCTATATGGTATGGCTATGGGGGAAGGTTGAAGTGGCTAGAGAGGTTTGCATATGTCAATTCCACAATTTACCCAATCACTGCCATTCCACTTCTTTTTTATTGTACTCTGCCAGCAGTCTGTCTACTCACTGGAAAGTTTATTATCCCACAGGTCGGTTTCATCTCCTGACAAATTTTCATTTCAAACACCTATTTGACGTCAAATGATCGCTCTTCAACAATTTTGTCTTCTTCAATATCTTATGAGTGGCTATGTCATTTCCAATTTGCGGTATATAATATATAAATATAAAATAAATTTCATACTTCCTCGGTCATGCTATCATCTTTCTGCCTTAAAACTGTGTATTCCGTGAAGCTAACTTAGCCCGTTTGGCCCCCATTAATTTTCATTATATTATATTTCATTTTTCTCTCTCCTATTTTCAATCACAGAATCTTTTATAAAATAATATTATATGTAAATCGAAATTTTTTCTTTCTTTTTCAACCACTCATTTTAAAAAAAAACACTATTCCACCAATTTTCATTTTTACAAAATGGGAGTCAAACGGGGACTTAATGTATCAATTATACACACAGTGGTAAACGTAACAATATAACCAATTTGATAGAATTGTTACGCCTAAGAATTATCACTCAATATTGGGCCACCTTATTGGACCCGAGCCAGGCCCATTAGTGTTGGGCCTTAAAGCCAAGGCTCTAAGAAGCCTAGCCGAGGCACCACCGAGGCCATAAAAAGCCCAGCCGAAGTGCCTATTACTTTGCTCACCTCATACTGGGCTCGAACTTAGGCCCATTAACCCGCCTTAGCCCATTTCACATCATTTCTCTATATATATGGATTCAATTCACAAGTTAAGGTATGTTCTAAATACTCTAGCCAAATCCCCTATTTCTCTACTATTGCACTCTATATATCTATCTCCGTCCGGCCGTTGACTTGACCGTCGGAGTGCAAACGGTCGCCGGACCTTTTTCTCGTCCGGCCACCTTTGCCTCTTGACGGGTGTTACATACGCAGGTTTCGAGGGGACAAAGCTAGGGTGCCTGTTGAAGCCATTTTTGGAGGTCAACAGATTGACGCCGTCTGTGGGA